AGGGTATTTACAACTAGTAATAAGGTTAGCCTCCACAAATAATACCTGAAGTAGGCTATAACTTTCTTTGGGAATAATTCTTGTGAGTGGTAACAATAGAGATAGTGGAATGTACCCTATCTTATTGCTCATCTAGGTAAAACATACAGAATTACCTAAGTTACCTTAGCCAAATAAGCCAGTTAGTTGACATTACATAATTAATGTTATAATTATAACATTAATAGAATGGCCAAGTCAAAGTCCAGACCTGAATCCAATCGAGAATCTGTGGAAAGAACTGAAAACTGCTGTTCACAAACGCTCTCCATCCAACCTCACTGAGCTCGAGCTGTTTTGCAAGGAGGAATGGGCAAAAATTTCAGTCTCTCGATGTGCAAAACTGATAGAGACATACCCCAAGCGACTTACAGCTGTAATCGCAGCAAAAGGTGGCGCTACAAAGTATTAACTTAAGGGGGCTGAATAATTTTGCACGCCCAATTTTTCAGTTTTTTATTTGTTAAAAAAGTTTGAAATATCCAATAAATTTCGTTCCACTTCATGATTGTGTCCCACTTGTTGTTGATTCTTCACAAACAATTACAGTTTTATATCTTTATGTTTGAAGCCTGAAATGTGGCAAAAGGTCGCAAAGTTCAAGGGGGCCGAATACTTTCGCAAGGCACTGTATGTCCAGCTGACAGAGATGTTACTTTATCAGAATATGTTTATATCAAAAACGAAATGTCACTTGGTGCTCTCATGTGATATGTTCCTGTTTTTGCTGTGAGCACAGGCTCATACTGTACTGGCAGTGGGTGCTGGGTTGCATTTTTAACATTCTGGTTAGGCCATGCTCAAAAGATGCAGCTCCACCCCTTTATTGTAAAAAAGGGGACAAAGGTCACATGGACGCCACCATGGTTGCCATGCCTCTGCAGTATTTGCGGTTAATGATTGACAGGCTTTTGATGAGCAAAACATGTACAGGACCGTGTTTTTTATTACTGCTTTGTAAAAAAAAAAAAAGCAACTCAGTTCTTCAGTGAAATTGTTCTTTATCATTCACAGTGAAAATGTGGAATACAAAGTAGTTTTGAATGTCACAGAGGTCCTGTTAGGTGCTAGGGTACATTTCTTAACCCACTTGGGTGAGAGGGTGAAATAATACAGAACACAGATGATTTGCACATCACTGTTTTGAGTTTTAATTTTGATTTTACATACCATCCCAACTTTTTCTGATTTGGGGTTGCTCTCAAGATAATGTAACCACTCCGGTTACAGATTGCTATATGTCTTGATTTTTTTTCTGTGCATCTGAGTAGTATTTATTTAATCTCCTTTGTTTATAGTTCTAACATCCACCACTCTCTTAGCCACTTCTATCACCCATTAAAATACATTCATATGGGCTATTTAAAATTTACTTTCCATTCAAAGAGTTTGAGTATTTCTGCTGACATTACTTCTGCATTTGTCTTTTTTATTATATTTTTTATGTCTGTAGCACTCAGCTGCAAATTTATGAGTTCTTACTGATGACATAATTAAAACCAGGTCACAAGTAAACCTATTTTTAAAAAAGACTCAGTAATTTCCTGTAATAGCTAGGCACTGTAGATTTAGCAAATGTTATGCCAACAAAATAAAAGAATGCATTTGGTACTATGCTACATCTACACTTAAAATACTGTATAGTAAAATACAATATTAGAAATGATGTAATTGTTACAAGAATAACATGTTCAGTCAAAAGACTAACAGCTGTCAAAAATAGAGCCCACCAGCCCCTGACTGACCCTCCGGGACACTGTGATTGGCCAGGATGAATCCTCTGGACAGTCAGACAAAAAGTCTATAATAATTTTCCTAGAGGAGGGTAAAAATATAACAATTATGGTTATAATATAACGGCTGCATGCACTGTAATTCTAACACAAAACCTCCATTCACCTTTCTAAATCCATGGTCCTTCTCTAAGTGCTAAACTGTTGTAAACTGTTCTTAATGCAGCTTACTTTTTATCAACAACTGTGTTGTTGATTTTACTCATTTATTTTTTGTGCTTGGATATCACTCACTTAACTTTAAAAGATCTGTACCTTGTAAACAATAATTAGGATTTTTAAGAAAACTTGCTTTCATAAAATAATGATTAACATCATAATTCCATTTCATAGCTGTTGTTTGGCCACCAAGATGAACTGTTCATACTCATACAAAGATATCTTGGTGAACAAATAATTCCCTAAGTGATTTATGTCATACTTGTAACATTGTAGATAAGTCAGAAAATAAGGAAAAGCATGCCATGGGAACTGAAAGGGAGTGATGTTTACACCACTCGGTGGGACTTAATGGTAAGTTAGAAAAAAAAAAACACTTGTTGAATGTTTGTTAATGCCTTATTTCTGTAACCTTAGAGAGGACTGTTGTAAGGCTGGAGAAGTTACTATGTCTGCATTATGTCAGTTTGCTAAAATATGGGGTTTCTTAATTACCCACTTTGTTTAGTGTTACACATCTCTTTTCATCTGTACATATACTGTTGTTTACCTATATGTGGCAGAGAAATTGAAATTAATCCCGCTGCTGTTTGTTGTGCTGTCAACTTTGGATAGTAAAGTCCAGGTCCTCTCCAGAGTACACTACTGGTTTGAGAGAGGAGTCGAAGCAATTTTTGTCCAAATAGAACACCCCTCGATCACCTGGCCTACATAGGGGTGGTGGACTCAGAGACATAACTTGTCATCCTTCTACAACTCTGTTTTGAAATCTCTTCCCAACAATTTCCACCCTAATTCACACCAGGACAATAGTCATTGGTCTACATGTCAGGGTTCAAAGACAGGTAACAACTCTCACCAATACCAGACCCTAATGACTCAGTCATTAGAGGACATTGTTGGCCATCGTAGGACTGAAACACCGCCCAGTGGGATAAATACCTCCTACTCACCACCAGTTGGACAGAGCTGATGAAGACTCTTGGATGAGAGGTGAAACACCTTCTACCTAAAATTATGTCCAGATGCTTTCTTCAAAGTTTTTTCAGCAATCAGCAACTAATTTACACCTGAGATGCAAAATAGATGCAATTACATGCATTTAACTACCAGGTGAAACTAGCAGATGCTTAGTGAAAGCTAAACCAACAGATGTACAGTAAGGAGAGAGACTAAAATGTATCTAAAAAGAGAAAACTGAACATTTTGCACAGTTTTGTATAGTTCATTACTGTTGTCATGTTCCATTTTATCAAGAATATAAAGAAGAAATTACATTGCATATCAGCCACATGAATGTATAATCCTGCAGAGACGACGGACACTGGCAGAATTCCCAGAGACCTTCCCTTTTGATGGTTGGCACCATGGAAACACACAATGATTTGCCTGTCAGGGTGTCCCGGGTGGAAAGCTCATAATTACGAGTGCATTGTGATTAGACTGAAATCATGATTTTAAAGCAATAGTCAGTCCTCTCTCTCGCTTGTCTTTCAGCTAATACAGTTGACTCTAATGAGAATACAATTAGGTATTTTCCTCTTTTTGTCAGGTATTGGATGGCATGTGTACTGTATGTGTCAACAAAATCAAACACGAAAGTAAAAGGTTAAACTGCTGGAGTTTACAACACTGGCAAACTGATTAGGTGGCATGGATTAGGTAGCATGTGCTAATAGCAAACTGATACACACAAAGTAGTAAACAGCTTCTGAAGCACAATGTACTTTAGAAAATAAAGTTTCACGTCATTGTAATTGGGAAGACTTATTCCCAATAAGACTTAAAGTGAATAAAGGCAGGAGGTGACAGTGGTGCAGTGGGTAGAGCAGTTGTCTCCCAACCAGAAGGCTGAAGGTTTGAATCTCGGTGCCGGCAGTCCAAAACGCTGATCCCGTTTCCCCCGATGGTTAGAGCCTTCAGTTGAGGTGGCACTGCAGATGGTTGCCATCTGTTCTGTACCGGAAACAAATTCCTTGTGTGTAACATACTTGACCAATAAAGGTGATTATCCTTATAAATAAGGCAGCAGACAAAAATTTGTATTCTAACACTACATGGAAAAACTGTATTTTGGCATGCTTTTCCTTGTTTTCTGTCTTGTCTAACTTGTCTACAATGTTACAACAGTGAATTATTATCTTAAACGTGACCTAAAGCTCAAAAAATGAGCTGTACATATGTTCTAGTACTTCTAAGCAGAAGCAACTCAGTTTATACAAGGACCTCTCTCAAGAAAGGGGGCAAGAGAGAGTTAAAAAGGACCCAGACTGCAGTGTGACAGTTTAGATAAAAGAAACAAAATCTTTATTGAGACAACTAAACAGGGATGTAGGAAAAATTGATGTTGGAGACAACTGGCAATGGAGTCAGTCCTTATGGTTTCATGGTAGAGTATTCCTTACATGGGACTTTAATACACCAAGATCAGAACCATTAAACTAAACACATTCTGTTTTGCCTTCTTTAATGTGTAAAAATTTTTGTTAGAGCCATTTTTAATATCAATCAGACAAGTGGAAGGAGACTGAACTGCATTTGAATTCTTTCCCTTCACCAGTAGGTAGATTTGAATGTTGTCAAAATTTCTAGAACCACTTCTGCTTGCAACTGCTAAAGACAGGGCTAAGGAGTGGTCAGTCAACCAACAGTCAAATTGTGGTTGAGAGATGCTAAAATGCCCCATATATGTTAATCACATTATACAGGGTAATTTGATCCATTGTTCATTTAAACAAATATTGATCAGTACAGCTTCAACCTGCATACTTTAAATACATTTTACCCCCGCTTTTCTTTATCCAGTTAACTTGATCCGACTCATGTTAACCAAAGAGCACTGGAATCCCCCCCCAACTTGTGGTACTGATGTTGCCTCCTCTGCTACCGTACCTTGTTCCTCCCCTCCTCTTCTTCTTACACCCGACTGTCCTCCTGTTGGCAGCATTCACTCTCCTATTATTAGCGTATTGGCTGCAGTTGTTTTCCGTATTTACTCTCAGGGCAACCCGATCTGCAGGTGAACAGTTCAACCTCGACCTCGCTGTTTCCCTGTGACACTTTCCGTGGATTATCTGCAGGAGTGGGAACGATGCGCTTTACGTGCAAAAGAGAGAAGTTGCATTTAGGATTTTAGGACTTATATACGGGACGTGGCATCCGAAGTGCGCGTCTGGATCTGAAGGCGAACAAGAAGATTTGAATAGGCGTCAGTGCGGGCGTAACGGTGAGCGGTTCTTTTTTGGGATTCCATAAGAGTCGTAAATTGCAGTCAGTTATTTCTCTACTGAGCCAAATTTTTGTGGAAAAAGACGAGCAAAGGACTAATATTAATAACACAGAATAGTACGTCTGTAAATAACAACAATTTAACTATATTTCATACTCATTTTGTAACATAGTCTTTGAATTTTGTTTCTCTCCATTTAGCACATTTTTGTAATGACATCAGTTCTGCAAACTTGACAAGGACGGCAACTAGCAATCCTTTCCAGTATTGATTAATCTGCGAATTATTTTCTTAATTAATCTATTCCAATTCATCATTTGGGCAAAGAGTTAGAAAATGGTGAAAAAAATGCACAATGCAGTTATTTTCAGAGGCCAGCTTGACCTCTTCAGAAGTCTTGTTCTGCTCAACAACATCCAGTTTATACTGACCTCAAACTGAGGTCAGTATAAACTGTAGCTTTAAAGTGGCATTAAAGAAGATGCAGCTACAAAACATTTTTTCTTAAGAAATTTCTTAAATATTTCATTGTCAGACCAAAAGTTGATCAACTAATCTAGTGTAAATATACGATAAACATTATTCTATACTTAGTATAATAGTTGTATGCTAGCCTCAAGGTATTTTTATATTGTATGCTACAATCTGCTGTGGCATAGTAAGTTTTAAATAAACACGGTAGATAGATAGATAGGTAGATAGCAACTAGAGCAGAGGAGTCAAATAAATATTAGAAAATGAATAGTGAAAAGTAATTGAAAACAGTTATAAAACATATGGTGTTGTGGACTAAAGCTAGAAGTTGACTGCACTGTATTGGTAGGAAATGTGGGAGGAGTATGATTTACTAGCATGCATGGATTAAGTTACTAACAGTTGTTATGTGCAGGTGATGTCAGCAGCTATCACTGTTGTATTTGAATGGCGATTATTATTTTTAGAGTTGAATGCTTGTAATGCCTTTGTATTTTATTTATATACTCCTATTGTGTGTTCTTACTTCTTTTTGGTTCTCTTGCTTATAACAATTTATACACTGTATGTATACTGTAAATAATTTAAAGTTAGTTCCTTAAAATTGAGAGTCTACTGAGTTTTAACTAATTTAAAATGCCTAAATGTGAGAAAAGAAAGTCAATACACTAGAGATATTAAGATGAATCAACATATTACTTTCCTTTAACATTTCTCAGGTGATAGAGTCAGTTCTTTGTTTGACCTGAAGAAAATACAACTGCAGCTATTGAAACCAGTTTGTGCTGGTTTCATGTAAAACTGCTCAAAGCAAGTTTTCATAATTTTTTTGTTATTAAAAGAAACAAACGTGGCTAATGTTCACTTTTTACAGACAGATTTTATCATGAATAGTTTATACAGTACAGTTATATGTTATCATCTTGAATGGGTTATACAAAGTACTACAAAGTGGCAAGGTGCATTAACTATGTTTTTTCAGCCGCTACAGGGTTTAGTGAGACTGAAAACAAACTGACACATCTTGTTTCCTAGCAATGACGAATGAAGTTACCAGTCCGAAGCTACAGCTAACTGACTAACAAGTATCAGCTCTAGGCAACAATGCAGCAGAACATCATCAAGTGACGATATCAAGGTTGACAGTACAGAGACAGTTCCTGAACAGGGCTAACAAAGCACTAACATTACACAAAGCTGTAATTACTCCCAAATTAAAATCATATAAATTCAACTCAAAGGTAAATTCATAACCATGTTAGTTTGCTATTGTTACAAAAATAAATGTGTTAACTTTAAATTATAACACATCCAGAAGGAAGAACGCCCAATCCTAATCAAATTTGAGTCCTCTAGCTGCTTATAACACTCTCCATCATCTCTGTCTCAAACCCAGAACTGTCTTGTTGTGAGGTAACAGTGCTAACCACTGATCCAACATGATGCCCACATCCTGTCCTATTTTCACTTTATTTATTAGACAAGAGATGAATCCAATTTCCCCTACTTACATTCACATTTCCCTCTTTTCCTTGTGTTTTAGTCCCACCCATGTAAAATGCAAGGAAAAGATGCAAGGACAATCTACAAGGACAAGGATGAAGTTTCAACTGACATGAGATGTCCTTTCCTCAGAGCCTTCTTGTGAAGCGTTGAATCACAAAATGATTTCTGATAAAAGGGCGTGTCAGTCCATAACAGGGTTCTGAGAAGGATGCATTGTGTATTCTTATTTATAGCTCCTCCAGGCAGCCACCTTGCTCCTTGGTCCTTGGGCCTCAGAGAAGAAATAAGAGTTTTCGGACATCCTTCATCATGGTGCAAACAGACGACTTCCAGGCTGAGCGAGGATTGAGGACCAAGGAATGATGAAATAAGGGAATTGGGATTCACCTAATGTGTAAAATCTCAGTTAATGCACCTTTAAACAATGCATGCTGGGAAATATGCTAGTTTTGTTCATTAGAAAATTAATGAATTGAGTGAACTCGCTACAGTTCATTCATTCATCTCATCATTTCAAGTCAAAAGACCTCAAGTAAGAACAACACATTTATAAGTTCTGAAGTGGTCTGAAAACAAAAACTACATATTTGAAGTTGAATTAACTTGAAATTAATACATATTTACTTTCAGTTAATGAGAGATTAATTGATTCCACTAAATTCCTTTACGATTATTTTCACTGTATAACAGTTCCGGTGATAAGTATGTTGGTTAAGCACATTGTAGACTGTGTTAGGTGGCAATAGTGCTTAGAGGTTTACTATGATACAGTAATTGTACAAATAGTATAAAACATTAGGAGATTAATTTTATGTTCCCTGTTCCTTCCCTGTTTCCTTCTTCAGTTCAGAAAAGCTGTTCATTATCCAAGGCTTGTAAACCTGATATGTGTACACCTAATGAGACAGTAACCTGAGATCCCATCCTGAGGAAAACCAGGATGCATCCCATTGTGTCACAGCTTTTAGGCAAGGCCAATGTTGGAGGCAGCCACTGTGAACCTGCCACTGCTACCTTGCTTCTCCTCTTGTGTTTTGGCTTTCCTCCCTCCGTGGCTACTTGTCCATTCTACTGCCTTTGTGCCAGTGATATCATTTCCTGCAGTGGCCACAATCTGTCTCGGCTGCCCTCTGATGTTCCAAGCTATGCCACACGGTTGGACCTGAGCCACAATGCCCTCACCGTCCTGCCTGTGGCCTGGATTCCTCAACCATTAAACTGGCTTGCTACACTTGTTCTCAGCCGAAACTCCATAAATCGAATTGAAATGAATGCCTTCACTGTCACGCCACATCTCCTTCATCTGGACCTCTCATCCAACCAAATAACAGTACTGAACTCATCCATCTTCACTGGGCTAAAGGATCTGAAAGAGCTGCTGCTATTTGGCAACCAGATTGTCCAGATCAACCCAGGAGCCTTCAGTGACCTTCACAACCTGCAGAGGCTCTATCTCTCTGGGAACAGACTGACAATTTTCCCACTGGGCCTTTATTTTGAACCTGGAGGGCCTCGTAACCTGACCTTTCTTGATCTGTCGCACAACAGGCTCTCCGAGGTGCCGATCCAGAGTTTGCTGTCTCTCACTCGCCAAAGTGGAATTTATTTGCAGGAAAACCCTTTGGTTTGTGACTGTGCTTTTCTTGCCTTGCTGGAGTATTGGATCTGGAAACAGTATCACCCTCTGGTAGACTTCAAAGGTAAATACCCATGTAGGCATGATTCAGGACCAGGCCTTATTTGTAGCCAGCAGGGAGTGTTGGATATGCCCAGTGAGGTGCAGACTTACCAAGTAGAGCCTGGTAAGTGGCTGATAGTGCCATGTCCAGGACTAGCATCCTCAGCCAAGGAAAGGCTTGTGGTGTTTTGGGTTACCCCAAGGACTGTGGTGACTTCATCAACCAATGATCTGAGCGCCCACATAGTAGTTCTCCCCAATGGCACCCTTGAAGTTCGAGGAGCACTCATAGAGGATTCTGGTACATATGGGTGTGTGGCAGCCCGTGGGCGACATTATGACCCCTACGAGTCAGTGGAAGTTAATGTGGTGGTTGGAAATTTGAGCACTGTCTCTGCCAGCGGTTTGGCACATCGCAGCAGCACTCTGCATTTCAACACTGCATTCACCACCCTTGTTTCCTGTGTGGTTAGCATAATTTTGGTGTTGCTATACCTCTACCTCACTCCTTGTCGATGCCAGAAAAACCAGGGAGGGGGCTCAAAAGGGTGCGGCAGACGAGCCTTTAGCCTTTGTTCGGACCCCAGAGAGGTAGAGTTAGGACAGCGGCGGTCGAATGGAAAGAGGGTGGCTTTCTTGGAGCCTCAGGCAGAAAACTCTAAATTTGGCAGCCCAAAAACATCACCAGTAAACTTGGGTCATATTACCACTGAGGGAATTCTCAAGAATGGAAGTAGGACAGTGGGGCTGACATTCATAGACCCTGCTCAGATGGCATAGCAAGAAATGTACCTTTTACATGTTTTTTTTCTGTCTCGTTTCAGTACATGATAAAAAAAATCCTTTTGATGTTAAGTAGTATACTGTGATTTATGTGAACTAGTTATGCACTGTGGGTTTTGGGTGTTTGGTCTGAGGCAAAATTTCAATTATGTATAATGAAAATTGTGTCTATTTTTATGTTGAGGTCATATTGAAATTTCACAGTTACCATGGGAAATTTATACTGCAAAGATGACAAAGACCATATATGTAAATGTGGGTGGTTTTTCATATTTGGCCAAGTGGAATAGTCACAGCTGATTTAATAAGACATTAGAGGCATTGATGGTTATTACACAGTATATGCATTGTGAATACAGCCATCACAGTGACCCTTGTTGTTTCTAACCATCTGTCTCCTACTGGGGAGCATATCATATGAAAAACACCAGTCGTGTGTGAAATGATCTGAACTTCAATGTTTGACAGATCAAACTGTGTCTTCTACATGATATGTTAATCAAAGAGAACCTTGTGAAAGTTCCCTTGTAAAAAATACAAAGTGAGACATATGGTAGCTTATTGTGTTACTATAATGTAAAAACCTGCAAAATGAAAATACAGACTTAGGTTTAGTCAGAATCAGAATCAGTTTTATTGGCTAAGTGTGTTGCACTCATGAGGAATTTGACTGCGGTACAGTGGCTCAGTGGTTGCTGAGCCAAACCAAACAGTAATGGAAATGCAGAGAACAGATTTAATGATTCCTCTAAAACTATCAGCGGTTCCAGGGCAGGTTGAACTTCTTGAGCAGGAAGTACATCCTCTGCTGTGCCTTCTGATAGTGATAGTGCTGATGTTGCACATTCACTTCAGATCCTAGGAGACAGTGGAGCCCAGGAACTTGAAGGACTTTACTGCTGATACAGTGCTACTGAGTAAAGCTTTTTTCCCTCTTGTGCACATGTTGGTCACTACTTTTTCAAGTGGAAAGAAGTACACTAAATGAAGTGTGTTGTAATGGCAGTGAGGACACAAGGAAGCCTTCATACTTTCATAGGCAACAGACTAATGACAGGTGTTTGGATAGAGGCTTCAGGTAGTGATGATCCCATTGTGACCAATTTAAACATCCCTCGCCACTCACTGTGACAGGCTGCTTTTCACAGGGCAGCATAGGGACATTTGGAGAGTGTTGCAGTGTAACATTTCCAGTTAGCATATTAGAATAAGTGGTCACATCACTGAATAATATAATATTAAATATTATTATGAATGCAACAATTAATATTATGAGCTACTGAAAATAGTAGCATGTTTGTATTGGTATTTTAAATATTAGAATTTCTACAAATATAAATTATAGCCTCCTAATTCCTTGCTGTTTTTTTTTTTATTTTTTTATTGAATCTGAAGAGAAACTCCACCAATATTATGCATAATCCTGAGGATCTCATCAAAATTATGTCAGGCTGGGCTTCAACGCTACACATTTATGCCAGTAAACCTGCATTACAAAGTCGATGTCATATAGGTGACAATCTGACAAGCAGCTTAATGGCAGATGCTGTTGAGCTGCATTATGGTAATTGTAAGATTTTTGAGCTTAACCCCTAGTAGGAATAAAAAGAGTACTTTCATATTCTTCTTTTAAATCTGGCTTTTATGAGGTTTTTGTCCCAATCAAGCATCTAGTGTGCAAAAACTGCTTGTATGCATCTCTTTGATTTGATATTTCAGTTAAGCTGACTTCTGTGATCTTCCTCAACTGTAACAAAATAGCGTCTGAGATACTTTGTGTGTCATTTGTTGATCACCCATCAATGTTAGCATTAGCCACGGTAAATACAGACATCAGAAACCTGTTTATTTCCAATCTTTTGTTGATTGCCAGATGAAAGGCTTGGGACTTTTGTGATCTGCCAACTCACTGTTGGGCCTCTGTGCTGTCCCTGAGAGTTGTTGCTATGCATCTTAAAGTGGCTCATGAGATACAGATGGTCTGGGTGTTAGTCTGGCTCTGTCTTTTCTGGGGTTTTTTTCATGCTTCTTTTTAAATGTCTTATGGATATTTGGTTGGAAAAAAAATGGCTATATCCATGCGATAGCATTAGTTAGCATTAGTTAATCTAATGAAGTTGTAGTTAGTTGCAATTGTGCACAGTCCATGTTATGGGAGCACATCACTGGACCACACTGAGCCTATCCTGATTGATGTTAAATTGAACCTATTATCTCTATAGTGTGGCTGTTGGATTCAGCAGTAGGAGTAGTAGTAGCAGAGTAGCAGGAATAGTAAGGCTACTAATTGCTGTCTTTATATTTCTAGATTAGGTTATATAACATAAGATGTAAAATTCTTCTCTTCTGCAAAAGTTTGATATGCATATGTAGTCCAACACCATAGAAGCATTTAATCTCTTCTGTGCCCAATATAAATGTAGTCATTTCCTGACTATCCATAATTCAAATACCAGAGGAGTATAGTGTGGGTTGTAGCTGAAATAGAAATGTTAATGTGAACACATTCAAGATAATGAGACCATTTAGCAAATAGTTTCCACTGTTAAATTAACAGGGTCTTATTAATGGTGCCCTCTTAACTGTGTAGTTGATTCACCATGTTCTGATAAAGCAGTAAATTGTTTAAAAAACTTCCCAAAATACTGGACATCCTTCTGCAGACTTAGTGTTTCATAAGCAAAGGTCACTTGTGACAACTAATACCTTCAGTCACTTTCTTTAGTAAATTTCATTTTAGAACCAAAAACTCAAATCTCCACACATACTCTAAAAATGACGCTGAGTCTCAAATATTTTTACAACATCCTTTAAAAATCACTGTAATTTAATAGGGATTTCCTCTATTCACAACACAGTACAGTACTAATTACAGTAAGTGCATACATTTGGAGCAGTTCATCCCCATAGGATTTAATTATACATCACTTGGAACCAAACCTTATACAAGCTGTAAATTGTTAACAATTACCAGATAGTACTGCTGCTGACATGCATGAAAAAATACCCATAAAAGTATTTTTACTTGTTTAATTGTAGAAACATTTGTAGTGATATGTAATATATTTAACACGCAAATAACTGAAACAAGTCGGTTTATGAGAGGTAAAGTATATCTCATACCTACATTTTTTAATGCATGTCATGTTCTGCAGAGGAAGCAGGAATCCCATTACCCACAGGATGAAAACAAAATATACTGTCCCTAATACACCATGTATGAGTTTTGTAATAACTGTGAAAAGCTTCTGCTTGACAATGAATTGGTTTTCTCAGTTCGATGGGGAACACATTTCAGGTTTACAATATATTATATCCTGCAGGGTTTTATGATGTACTCAAAATGTACTTGCAGTATGATGTCTCGCTCTCCTCATCCTTTTTCCTTTAATCCACAGATGTACATTTTTCTCCAACATTTTGGTGGCAAAGTTATTTCAGGGTCATATTCCCGGTATTTATCAAAATAATTTTTTTTTACTTTTTCAGATAAGTTTTTATATCATGAACAGCTTTTCATATTAAGTGATCCACATGTAGTTCCTATGGATATTTATAGGAACACTTCATTCTTTTCAGTAATTTCTATGAATGCCTACTGTAAACCACACTTCAGGTGTCATTGATATAACCAGTATACAGTAGCTGCTACACAGCTGAATACATAGTGATAGGTTTAGATTCAGAATCTGTCATCACAGGTGAAAACAGACCAGACTACCACAAAAGTATCACAATGCTTCCTCAAGGAGCTTTCAAGGGCCCCCAACTTTCAGCTCAGTTCACTGAAATAATGAAGTGCCAAGCCACAGGAGAAAAGCAAATAGGGTCGAGTGAAAAGTTTGTCAGGTGTGCCTAAGAAAAAGTTCTGTAAAATCAAGAAACAGGGAGTTTGTCTAAAATACAAATATTCTGTAGGTCCTACGTAGAATGTGCATCCAACGAAGTTCAAATTCTACAACACCAGTATGTAACATGTTTTTTTTTTAAGGAGAATATCAGAGAAAGTAGAGAAGGCAGACAGGAGGGAATGTGATTCAGTGCTGGGAGAGTGATGTGGGCTATTAGTTGAAAGGATGGGTGTTCAACCTACAATAAAATAAGGATGAATTCTGATGTTGTGACTGTAAATTTGAGCCAGACTAACCTGACACTGACTGTCAATAAACCTTTCAAAAGCAATTTGAAAGAGAGGAGTTGGGACTGGGTGGCATGATTATGGGCTCTCATTGCACATACTCAATTTTTGGTGCCATTATGATGCTATGTGCTGCAAGCAGTGTTAGATAATTTGGTGGCATTCACAGAATAAACACAGCACATTACTTGTGAAACTGCCAGTAAAATATCTTTTAAAAATTACACGAAGGAGCAAACATCTATAGGCAGGAACAAACACTGCCACATTTAGGGGACTTGAAGCAATAAATAAATAAAATCATCTCCCATTAGAAGAGAAAGAACAGATTTTTTTAAAGCTGACATTTCATTGATGATTTAAGGATTGCACACAGTTCTTAAGCCCAATTTTATGAGTTATGTGTGTCTTCTAAAAGTTGAGGTAATGTTAGACAACCAGGAAAATTCTTCCATGAGAAAAGTAGTGAAGGTCAGGGACTGATGTGAACAACTTCCATGAATACTTTCAAATAATTTGCAAGCAAACACTAATAATGTGAGTGTAATAAAGTACAAACAGGGGTTTGCAAGGACAGTTAATTGAGGTTATAACCATAGCAGTTATCCCCTTACCTCCATACTTGACTCAGTCTAGGAAGGTATAGTCTGTCAAGTGAGAGATCTTGTCAGCTTCAGATTTTCTTTGCCAAATCAATCAAGGCCAAACAGAGACTTCAAAAATGCCAGATTGTTAAAATTTTCAGCAGTGAAAGGAAATGCCTAACATGTATTTACGTACTGTAATGGCAAAAATGCTCTTAACATAATTCAGTGAGTGCAAAATAAAAGATACCAATTCTGGAGGTTGATGTGCATTTATTCCTGCAGGAAGGAACGAACTCTCACAGAGTGTCAAACATAACAGTCTGAAGCAGAAGCTCTCTGAGCAGAGATCTGCATTTCCTTTCATACATAGACATGAGTGTTGCTTGTGGTTTCGGTCTGTTAAGGTCATATGTAGGTTTAAGGAAACGCCTGTCACACAGGAAAGAAGCTGTCTGGATAAGTGATTTACATTTATAGAGCACGTATGCATGATGAAGCACAACAGGTCATGTGATTATACAGTATTTACTATATTGTGAAAGGGGTAGCTCAAAGGGGTTGCCAAACCCATAGAAAATGAATACCAATGTTTTTATCAGCTTTCTATCTCTGGTAAACACTTATATGCTTCCTGCCCAGTATCAAACAACATTTAGCAACTAGCTGGTGAATATAGTTATAAAGAGCCAGGTATTTTCCTCAGGAGAAACCCACCTAGTCATAGTAACAGTCACATCCTTCGAAGCACAGGCTGAGGTGGAGGTGTGGCAGCAATCTTTGATTCCAGCCTATTAATCAACATACCAAACATAGTTATAATTCATTTGAAAGCCTCACTCTGAGTCTCTTGCACCCAAATTGGAAAACTCAAAAGCCTGTTCTATTTGTTATTGTATACCGTCCACCTGCCCCTTGTTAAGAATTTTTAACTGAATTCTCAGACTTTCTGACTGATTTAGTGCTTAGTACAGATAAAATAATCTTAGTGGGTAACTTTAATATTCATGTAGATGCTGACAATGACAGCCTCAACAATACATTTAATTCATTATTAGACTCAATTGGCTTTTCTAAAACTGTAAATAAACCCACTCACTGTTTTAATCACACTCTTGATCTTGTTCTGACATATAGCATTGAAACTGAACACTTAATAATTTATCTCCAAAACCCTCTTTGTTTGACAATTTTTTTTTTATAACTTTTGAATTTACATTAGTGGATTAGAATCTATGTGGGAAACAACTCCACTACAGTAGATGTCTTTCTGACAATGCTGTTACCAAGTTTAAGGAAATAATTCCATCATTATTTACTTCCGTGCCATGTGCCAACACAATTAACTTAACTTCACTCCCACACAAGTTGATAATCTTGTGATGGTACTGCAGCCTCCCTGTATAATACAATTTGCCCCTCTGAAAGGGAAGGCAATGAAACAGAGGAGGCTAGCCCCGTGGTACAGCTCGCAGCTCCGCTCCCTAAAGCAGGCATCAAGAAAACTGGAAAGGAGGTGGCGCTCCACTAAGTCAGAAGAGATTTTCATAGCCTGGAAAGATAGTTTAATAACATATAAGAAAGCCCTTCATAGTGCCAGAACCGCATTTTATTCATCACTGATAGAGGAAAATAAGAACAACCCCAGGTTTCTTTTCAGCACTGTAGCCAGGCTGACAAAGAGCCACAGTGCTGTTGAGCTTAACATTCCCTTAGATCTCAGCAGCAATGGCTTCATGAGCTTCTTTACAAATAAAATCACAACCTTTAGAAAAAAAATAAATCAGATTCTTTCCACAACTCTCACAGATGTATCAAGTACAACAGCTTTAGAAACATCTGTCAGACCTCATTTATATTTAGACTACTTCTCTAACATAGATCTCTCTGAGTTTACCTCAACAATTGCTTCATTTAAATAATCAACTTGTCTCTTAGACCCAATCCCAACCAAGATTACCCCTAATCAACATGTCCATATTAGATCTGATCATCCTCTCTCTGATAACAGGCTATGTTCTGCAGGTTTTTAAGATTGCTGTAATTAAACCTCTACTCAAAAAGCCTACTCTTGACACAGGTGTTCTAAGTAATTATAGACCAATATCCAATCTCCCCCTTATTTTTAAAATCCTTGAAAAAGCTGTTGCAAAGCAGTTATGTGACCACTTGCACAAGAATGATTTGTTTGAAGATTTTCAGTTTGGTTTAAGGGTCCATCATAGTACAGAAACTGCACTAGTGAAAGTCACCAACTATCTCTTCCGAGCCTCAGACAAAGGATTCATCTCTATACTTGTGCTCTTAGATCTCAGTGCTGCTTTTGACACCATTGATCATAGCATCCTATTACAGAGACTTTTACATGTTATTGAGATTAAAGGACCTTCACTAAGTTGGTTCAAATCTTATTTATCAGATAAATTCCAGTTTGTTCATGTTAAAGATGAATCAGACTAAAGTTAGTCATGGAGTTCTACAAGGTTCTGTGCTAAGTCCAATT